ATCAGCAGGTGTGTATCAGCAGGTGTTCATCAGCAGGTGTGTATCAGCAGGTGTGTATCAGCAGGTGTGTATCAGCAGGTGTGTGTGTGGTTGTTACAGAGCTGTGGGGTCCAAAACCGTTCAGCTTCAACCTGACCACAGCTGAAGGTGTGAAAACATTCGGCTCGGTGCAGCCACCTGCGAGCTGCCTCAGGTGAGACTCCCGTTTGATTCCCGTGAATAATTTTAAACTTCTTCTTCTTCTTTCAGCTGCTCCTCCTTCAGGAGTCACCACAGAGAAGAACTCGCTCCAAGACTTGGTGGTTGTTTTACACCAGATGTTCTTCCTGAAAGACACCGAGCTACGTCAGCCTCTGTGTGGAGCAGAGGGTGGGGGTTAAGGGCCTTGCTCAAGGGCTCAGAGTGGGGCAGATGAGGGTGCTCCACCTTTAACACCCACATTTTGATGTTGTCAGTGGAGGGAGTTGAACCGGCGACCTTCAGACCACAGGTCCACCTTCTCTAACCTCTGAGCCACCACTCCACATGTGAATTAAAAAAAGTTGAACAGTTTGTGTTTTTTCTTCTTCTGGTTTTTAAACAAGAGACAGAGATGATCTTCAAACAAAACAAAACCCAGCTCGTCTCTGGTGACGGCAAATATCCATGAAGTTAAAAACTAAAGAGAAGCGTGTCGGTGCGAGCTCAACGGAGCAGCCGGCAGGAAAACAAGTCCACAGTTTAAGGACAAACGCAGATGAGACATAAAAACAACCAGGTCTTCTGGAGTTAGAAGAACAGCCGACACGTTCTGTTCAATAATTAAAATAAGTTGATTGTACGGTGAACCAGCTCATCTGAAACTGTGTATTTCATAAACGTTTGTGAAATGTTGGCATTCTTTTTTGTTAGATGTTCATTTATATACACCTTTGTGCCCTTTAGTTTTTTTGCCTGCATCAACACATTATTTCTAAGTTTCCTGCTAATAAATCTAACCACTATTGCTGGTTTAATTTTATCCTGTCCTGGCAAGGTGTAGCAGGTAGACACATCCTCCTGTTCAATATTAAAGTCTTTGTCCTGCAGAAATGATATAACTTGGTCTTCCAGTGTCTGAAGATCTTGCTGTGATGCGTCCTCCGTTGTTACCGAACCCATCACAGCTTTTGCAAAAGACTTTGGTTTTACTGTAAAACCAGTTATAATCAGATTCTCCAATCTAGCATTTCTTTCCATATCGTCAACTTTTTTTTCAAGTTCAATTATTTTTTGGTCTTTTTCATTTATTTGAATTTTTAGTTGTTTTACTTCTTCAAACAAACCAAGTAATAGTTCTTGTTTTGAAGTCAGTTTAGTCAGTTCCATACTCATAAAGTCCAAAGACTTTTTAATGTCCTCCATTTCCTCAACACCTTGTTCATCCAAATGTTCTTTCTTTCCACGTCTGGATTTATTAGACATTATTAAGTTTACTCACGACCTGTAGATTTTTACACAGCCGAGAAAAGCCGGCGCCCGATCCCTGGTCACAACAGCCCTCTGATGGTAGCCAGCAGCTACAGTGGAAGAGTCATGATAGCTGCTCCTGGGCCTGGTTGTAGCTGCTCCTGGGCCTGGTTGTAG